CTTTTGGTACATATTGCATATAATCTCTAAATCACTAGTCTGAATGACTCGATATTACGTTTACTACGTTGAGGTGTTGGGTTGATTAGATATGGTTGGTGGGGAACTCAGGACCCAGGTTTCGTCCTATTTTGTACTTGTTCACATGGCGTACCTGGAATTATAAAGGATTTATAGTGAGACATTACCACTGACCATTTTGGAGGGCTACTGACCTGTTATAAACTAAAGCAAAATAGCTATACATTCTATCTTGATTTGTGACAGTTTTCAGGCTGGTGGGCTAGGTGGTTGATGAAAATCTTCTGACGAATTTTGACCTCAAGAACAACACCTACCTAATATTTACAATCAGTCAAACAAGTTAAAATTTATAGGATTAATTGTTTACCAGCCAACGACATGATCTATTCCTCTGTTGCACCCAACTTCTTGAAGAATGTCTTTTAGGTCATCTATTAAATTATGTAGACCATCCTCTTGTACTCTGTCAACTTTGATTGCGTGTCTTATCATCGAGTATCGTTGCGCAAACTGAGAACATATTTGGTCAGCTAAGGATAATTAGGAGAATAAATGAAACGAAACCGATAATAGTTCGAGTTACCTACGACAACAGAATTCACATATTATATTATAAAAATTGACTGTTAGGATGTCTGTGAACATGGTTAACGTGGTTTTGTACTCTCTCTTATAGGTTAATTTGTGAATAAATATAGTATTGATCAATTTGTTTCAGTTGTTCATTTATTGAGAAAAATTAATGTTACTGTGTATGCTAGTTAAACCTTAGTTTACCAAATCATGTAATATAAACAATTCCATTTATGATGTAATCAAGTTAATAATATATTTATGTTGTTAATTATTATTGCTATATTACCAGTAATGGTGTAATTTCCTTTTTTTATTAAGAAAACGGGTTTTTTGTTTTGAATATCCATATATTTGCACATTTAGGATGTTTCTTAATCGATTGTAAATGGTATTTAGGAAAAAGTGATATTTTCAGAATTGGTTTATAATGTTAATGTATTTCTATAGAGAGATGTTGGGGAGACTAATTTATAAACGAGCCAATTATAGGCGTTTTAGGGATTTCAAGGTTGCGGCGCCAACTTCAGTGCTTAATGCTAACGTACGATCGGTTCACAGAGGATTTTATACAAAACGTGATAATTGAGCGGCTATAACAAATATAATGACAAGACCATAATTTGTAGACGAATCAATCAGGTATAAGATAATTGATCTCGGATCTTAACGCGAAAGCCTTTCATCCATTTGGCTAAATAAAATTTCTGGCATTATAGCTAATGTTGGTTCGTGATGAAAACCCTATATATAATTCTTAAGGCAAATGACGACAATTATTGCGAACTGGATAATAAAAGAACCAGTAACACTGGCTGCAGCCCGGTACTACAATATATATACGGATGATTGGAGAGCGCACAGACTCCTACATAGGCTTGGTTATGTGCATCGTGTCATTATCCACAAGTAGCATCAACCGGTGTGCACATAAACAATATTGAAGCTATGTGGTCGAGGCTGAAAGAGTTTTTGAGACTTTATCATGACTCCAGAAGCCGACTATTCTGTAGCCGTATGGACGATTTCCTCTACTGCATGCATTACGACTTTAGAACCTCTGAACCTCTTTCTAACCTTGACAAGTTTTTGGACCACGTATAAGAAGTGTATCCACTATATTTTCTTGGTTTTGTATAACATATTTTTACTCTATACTGATTGTTTTCTGATTGGCTAATCTTTCTCAAGGTCACTTAAGACTCGTTCAAAGGTCGTCCATAAATTAGAGTCTCGCTGAGATGTCAATATTTACAATAAATAATTATCACTAATTGTTGTCACTAATTCATTCCATTTCTCTAACTGTAAAAGTAAACACTTGCCAGTTTAGTCAGCTACAACGTAGGACCAGGCATATATATGCATCGACACAAGTCCCCACACTTCATTAGTACAACAAGACGAAAACCATATTCATCGAAGTAGTCACTTCAATGGTAGTAATGTATAAAAGAAAGATTGCATATGAGGAAGAAAGAATTAGTTCATAGAAAGAAAGATATGAAGCGATTTTAATCTCATAGTTTAAAGAAAGTCAAAAAGTGTATACACCTACGACATTGTGATCGATTCTGTGCCATGTCACCCAGAGTTACGTGCACTCCAACCAAATAGTCTGCATCTACCACTTGCCAGTTAATTAACATTTTCAAATATTTTATCTTTCGTATAACATTACATGTTTTTGAAGTTACACGTACCCTTGACTTTGTATTCAACTTGTTATTTTTAATTACTTTGTAGAATCTTGATAATATTTGACATTAAGTTTGTTTGGTAACATTGAATAACATTCATAGCTGTTGTTCTACTGATCAAATGTATATTCTGTCCATGCAGTTCAATAGTGCTTAGTTTATTTTACCATAGAAAACGCAAAATGTTATTCTCAATAACAAGAAAAATGTTGTAATCATTCATAACTTGAAGACTTTTTGTCTTTGCGTATATTTTAAATTTTTAAAATGGAATTTTCGAACTCGGACTAAGTGTTAGCTTATTGAAAAAAACACATCTAAAGGCTAAAAATTCATATAGAATAAATCTAAATTGATTTGTGTTATAGTTTTATATCAACTGATGAACAAGTGAAAACCATGAAATATTGGTTATCTCTTCAATCTTAATTTGAAATTCCTCAACAATGCTCACTCACGACCCAGTCAAGTATCAAACTCGGAGTCTTAAAATATGTGTCAAATAACCTAATGACATTGTACAACGAAGAATAGTAATTCTATCATACAACCTAGTCTATAGTAGGCGCAATAAGTTTGAATTTTCGAACCAACAGTTTTATGGTTTAGACTATTCAACCACTACTGACTGTTCTTTTGTATACAGATTCGAATTATCTCTGACATAGAGTTTCGCATTATGGCCTGGATATTTCATTATCAGCCACTGAGTTATTGTGATGAACCCTGAATTTTTATCTAGTTCTTTTCTTTGCATCATGGTATTTCAGTATTCATCACATAATAATAATAATGCAAAATAAGTTTCACTTTACTAGACCTCATTGTTTCTGATTGCTTACAAATGTAAACTGGGTGTTTGCCAAATACTAAACGACCAAAGTATTGTAATGATCATCGAATATCTTCAACAACCCCCCGATGATAGTATAGCAACTTAATCTGACACATCCCAGGCTCTGTGTTAACTATAACTGTTGATTGGTTGCTACTAGTATGATCTCCACTAAGTCAATACAACCAAGTAGCTTTAAAATTGAACGAGACGTTTATTTAGTTCTTCTTGGTTATCAGAATTTTTCCAGCTGAAGTAACTATGGTAGAATTTGCAACCAAAGGTGTTTAGTCATGATCAGAATTTCCGAACTTCAATCATGCAGATATCACTACATTTTCTGATCTACGCACCAAATCCTGTTTTATGTATTCTAATAAATAAAATAGTTGGTTGATATATTTGTTATTTTGTAGTTATCATTCTTATTTTGTCAGAAAACTGACTGTAAAAGTCAAACAACGTGTTAAAAATCACGTAGTAATGATGTAATCTAATAGTCTAGTTACTCAGCTGTTAATAAATCGACTATATCTTGCATGTAAGATTGTTTGGTCTTGTTCAATAAAGTCTCTAGTAGTTTATGATTTAATATTTCAGTCCATTTGCTAACTAACAAGTTTATGTATAAGAGCCTTGAGGTATTTCTTTTGTTATTCCATCCGGTTGGCCAAAGTGAGTGGATAGGGCCAGAACTCAGACCAGTGATTTCGTGGTCGAAATCTGAGTATTGTAACCATTTAAACTACTTAATCTACAGTGGGCTAGATTAATTTTGACATGGTTACTTAGGTGGCTTTCATCATATTTATTAGAGATATTAACTGTTAATAGGTTCTAAATTTTAACAATAGAAATTCGACAGTTTCATTGTTTCTCTTGCCAGTGTGGTTCACCTTTTTTGACAGAAATAGAGTTCAACTTTATTTATCTTTAGGCATTTTAGTTTTAATTGTCTTTTTTCCTTTGAAAACAATGGAACTAGACTCTTAGACAAATCATGGATCCCATTAAAAATTTATTTGTAGATAATTTAGCTAAAAGGTTTTCATGGAGTTTGATTTGATTTTTCATCTACACTCATCTTAGACTGATTTTAGTTAAAATATCACTGGATATATCGGAAGTGAAACCGTTGTCAACAATATGGCGTTGGATGAATGTCCTTTTTTATAACGCGAATCATTTGAGGTTAAGGACTGTACAACTGGAAGCCAACCCAAATTGAGATGGTTGGACGCTCGCCACAAGACTTGAAGGGCCTGAGTTTGATCCCTGGTGGTGTCATGGTGCTCATTACCAGACAGTTGTATGGTAGGATGAAACATATATCGACTTTTGTTGGCTTTCTAGTGGTACTTTAGCTTAGATCTATCTATGGTGAATATAAATTAAACAAACTTCCACGAAAACTCTTCAACCTAACTGTAACGGTCAGTTCTCTATTAACTTACTTGAATATGTTCATGAAGTTCTAGTAAGAAATAGTGACTGGTAGATTTAAGAGACTCTGGGAACTAAACACTGATCACTAATGAGATTAGATGGTTATCGAGGTGTATCTCAAATCAACTGTAAATAATTTGCAAAATTTAATCTATATATAACGTTCTCATACATTCTTTTAACAAAGGATTCGCATAATACTTTAATTTAACTTTCAAATAGTTACCTTTACTCAATGTTTCAAGCTTAGTCTCGATTATGGTAACTCATTTCTTTTTGCATATGATCTACAATAAAAAATACTGAATGGGTTTCATTTCACTTTATTTCACGTCTTATCAACTTTTTCTTATCCATCAACATTCTCATCTCTATTATTATTATTATTATTATTATTATTATTATTCTTTTTTATCTCTTAGGTTGTTGTTAATTCAGTGTTAAAAGCTGGACTCGAGTATCAAATACATGGTCAATTTCATGAATGGCGTGATCCAATCACTTCTAGAGTATATGGTTTACATTTTCCGGAACAAGAAGATGCTGCAATGTTTTTGAAAACAATCAACTTTATTTTGAATAGACTGGCAAATCCTGTAAGTTATATTTTAGAAATTGTTAGGGAAAATCAACTTAATATTTTTTTACTATTACGTTCTTACTATAACTGATTAGTGGCTAGCAACGGATTACAGGATGCGCATTTCATCTTATTTAGGACTTGTAAACTAGATACTCCTGGATCCATAATATTGATATCCACATATATTTAAACTTAATGCTTTTCTCCTCAAACGTTAATGTGTTACTCACGGAGCTACGAATTCCAGACAATCATTGCCAATATCAAGGCAATTTTCTCAGGATTCACACATATCAATAGAGACTGGACATTTATAGTACTTAACATCAACGAAAATGTGCCAAACACTTAAAAATCGCTACGTTTTTATGTCGTGCTGAATCTTAGTTAAAAAACAATAAAACTTGCTTTATTTTCATTCATTTCTTCTATTGATCAATGAACGTTGATTATCCTTTTTAATCAACACTTTGTCTTATCTGTATTTCAAGGTTATCTAAACAGAAATATAAACAGTAGTGTTGTTCATATCAATAACACTGAGATCATTCTTTGAAAAAGATATTTCTTCATCATTTGTATTAAATTATTAAGTGTTGTTATATTTTTGTTCTTCCAGTAATTTAAAATTTCATCTCATTTCTCCCTTTCTCTCTCTTGTGCTTATGTGGTATTGCAATTCGAACTGATGTACGTACGTACGAAGTTCTACGTTGTTACTGACTGACTTTTTTTTCTCTCTCTGTCGTATGCGTATTATCATCCCGCAGTTGATGCTGATATTTAGTGGTAATTTTAGAAATGAAAGTGTCCTAAAATTTAATTTATCTGACAACCAATTAGTTGAAGTCAGTTGTATTTCAATATTATAGAGTAGAAAATTGTTAACTACATTTTAGAATTATACACTTTCATTTGACTATTATCTCGGTGGCTTGCCATAGTGTAGTGAATAGAACACAAGTGGGGACAATCGAATGTATTTAACACAAAATTACAAGACTTGTTAAGAAAATCTAACATTCATAAAGTAAACGCTTAATTTGCAAAATGTCCACCAAATGTCTCAAAATGACTCAGACTTCATTGTTCTTGCATTTTCATGCAAATTGCATTCTGTTCCCATTCCTTACTGTTAGATCCTGTTGTCTCTCTGCTGCCAGACCTGTTCACGACTAACATATACTACTATTTCGATATAAGTAGCAGTAGTTTCGGTTACTCGTTACTGTTAGCGGGACCTATATTAGATTAAAGCGTGTTCCATGAAGGATTATGTTGGTGCACACTGATTGGATATTGTTTAGTTAATCAGTGCTAGCGGATACTTGAAGAAAACTATAGAATCTTTTTATGTAAAAATTATAAATATACTGACGTTTTTCTTATAGTGATTCTGTTAGGTCCTGATAAACATAATGACTGGTAACTTTGGGATCCATTTATGGACCAACACTAGATGTATATTTTCATCGTATAATTGTTAAATAACTAAACTATTCATATTCATATTCCTCTTATTATAAGCTTTGTTTCGACCTATGAACTATTAATATACGATTTACCATTCTTGAATTAGGCCCTGTCTATCAATTACTATCTCCCACATTCACAGCCACATTTGGCCAAATCTTGTACAAATGTTGTTTTCGATTTTATGGTACGGTGTGATCTGTCTGGTTAGTATATAAACTCGGTATGTTTGAAATATTATGATTTACAGCGCAAAGGCTCGGATTTGTGTTCTGGACTTAACTGGCTGGGCTAGGTGGAAGCAGGACCAATCAAGAGTCCAGGCTGCTCATACGTGTTTACGCGTCATTGATCCGATCGATAATTCACTGCGGTATCGTTACGTTATACATTAACAAGGCACGCAGTTCACAAGTTATAACAGATTCCTACTTCCACCCATTCTTGTTATTTGGAACATAATCATGTTATTATTCAACCGTGTTCTGATTTCGGAGATTGTAGAGTGGAGTGGTGATCAAGATTACTGAACAATAAGAGTAACTGGGTCGTAAAAAGAGAAAAAGCAACAGTCACATATTCAATCATGGTAATGACACTAATAATACTAAAGCTTATGATATGAAACTCACAATCTAAGTGGTTTATGACAGTAACTGTCATAACATACTGTACACTTTTAATATACAGACTAATTCTCTATGTATGTGTGTATGTATGTTAGTTTGTTCATTACGCTAATTGTTAAAATAAGAGAAAATTTTTAATAAACCGACAAGAACTGAGAAAAATTGGTGAACCGATTCAAAGTGATTGTCTTTTATTTTGTACTTGAGCCAATATATCGTATTGAAATTAAGTTTAATAGTATTTTTAGTAGTAATAAAACCAGAGGGGATGCATTCACTTAAATATCGTTTTTTGCTCTCTTATTTGTGAAACTGTACATACCATTCTTATCAACCATTAGGAATGTATTTGTTATAACTACTCACTGGCTTGCACTCTTTTAGTCGATAGCTCGAGGGAATACACGTCAATAGAGATCTTAATTTATTCTTCTCGTGTTCGACTATGCTGGTCCGTCTTTCGACTGGTTACGTAGCTTGACCAGTGAGACGTCTAGGCTAGCAATAATAACTTCAGTGACTGATTAGATAATGTTGATTCTTATTAGATCTCGAGTATAAGCGCTTCTATCTATTCCCCAGTCTTGAATCCGATACGTGAACACAGTTGACAATCTTTTATTATTATGTTTCAGGCACTCAGTACATCTTACCCAAACACATTACTTTAGGTACATGAATTAACAGACCGTAACACGCTTTAAATTTCCGCTTGTGGCTCTTCTAGGGCTACAACTGGACCCAAGCCCGGGTAAAGGTGCAGGATTTGACAGTGGGGCCGGAAGCCCTATCTCGTAGAAAACAACATTGCTAAAAAAACGCCAACCAGAACAAACAATTTAAACTCTGCTCTGGGAGTTGAAAGAAGAATTTTGAAACCACATGATTAAAGCCGAGATTCTTCAGAAGTCATGACGTTGATGCCCCTTCTAACAACCAGAGTAGCAATTAATATCGGTACATGGAACCTCCAGACAATGCGGGAGACTGGAAGGACCAGTCAAATAGCAACGGAAATGAGTAGATTCAACTTGGCAGTTCTCAGATTCAGTGAAACCCATGGGACCCAGGCTGGACAGCAAATATTAGATTCGAAAGAGATGGTTGTATTCTGGTCATGAAGAAAAAATGCTTAAAACACACAGAGAGTCGCTCCGATACTGTCCAAGGAAGCACAAAAAGCACTCATAGGATGAGAATCTCGTGGATCGAAGATCATAAAAGCATCCTTCAAAACAAAGAAGGATGGAATCACAATGAATGTTATGCGGTGTTATAAACCCGTCAACGATAGCAATGAAAGCGATAAAGATCAATTTTATTTTAAGATCCATTCGATCGTAGAGAAGTGCCGAGGAAAGGGCCTGACCATCCTGATGGGAGACCTAAACATCAAATATGGAATGGAAAATACCTTCTATGAAGATATCACGAGCCGACACGGAATGTCCGGGAGAAACATACGAGAATGGCGAGAGATTTTCAAATTTATGTGCGTTCAACGAATTGGTTATAGGCGGTACAATATTCCCACACAAACGCACACACAAAGCTACATAAGTCTCATTGGACCACACCACCGAGAACCAGATAGATCATATTTGCATCATTAGAAAATTCAGAAGGTCAATGGAAGAAGTGAGAAGCTGCAACAGAAGGAATTGTGAAACAGCTATATGATACAACGAATAAACTGGCAGGGAAATATAGTAAACCAGATAAACCGGTCCAGGCATCGAGCAAGTAACACAGTCGTTAGGTAACGGGTACTAGGTAAGGATGGCAAATCAATTGATGAAGTAGTGAAACTTCATCAGTTGAGATGGCTGGGACACGTGTTACGTATGCCCAACCACCGAATGCCTCGACGTGTGATGTTCAGTGGTATAGGAGTAGGTTACTGTCGTAACCAATGGTTGGAGACTCTTGGTGACATGGCTCAGAATCGATCACAATGGCGTCGGTGTATACACTCTGTGTCTTCCCTTAAACTAAGAGATTAAAATCGTTTCATATCTTTCGTTCTACGAACTAATTCTTTCTTCCTGTACCACCTCTGAATTAACTACTTTTATGAATCCGGTGTCCATCTTTTTGTGTTAATGAGATATGGCAACTTGGGCCGATGCATATTTATGCCTGGTCCTACGTTGTACCTGACTGACTGATAGGAGTATGTTGGAATAAAGCTAGGAGTGGCCAGACCAAAACATGGCACAAGTCCGTGAAGTCACTAACAAGTGGACTGAGCCATGTTGGTAGGTGTAGACTACCTGGTTAGGGATTGCGAGATGAAAGAAACCGATGGTTAGAGACACTGAATGACATGGCTCAAAATCGTTCACAATGGCACCCACTGTTTGTGTTCTCCCAAATTCTAACCTTCTGAATTCTTCATGTCCCATATTTTTTCTCTTTCCAAATTTATTTCACCGGATTATACTCCTTGAATAACATCTTCAAACTCTAATCTTTCCTATAACTGCTTATACTCTTACCACCTCTACCACTATGGGATTTGAATCGACCACTGCATATCTCTGCTAATGTGGTGTGGCAACTCGGACCAATGTACGTACGTACGTACGAAGTTCTACGTTATTACTGTCTGACTGCTCCAGGACAAAGAAGGCAAGCTAATCACTGAGATTCAATAACAGAGGAACAGATGGATGGAACACTTCGAGGAACCCTCAAATAGACCAACTCCGTTGAATCCACCTGATATCGAAGTAGCACACCCACAGAGCTTCCTATAGATATCACCGCATCAACGATCGAAGAAATCATGATGGCCATCAGACAAATTAAGAGTGGGAAGGCAGCAGGACCTGACAATATACCAGATGAAGCGCTGAGGTCAGACATAGAAGTAACTGCAAACATGCCCCACGTTCTATTCAGGAAGATT